CTACTTGATCAAAAAGAAAAATATCCAATACACCACTCACAAAACTAAATCACATTTCAAAAACTCCTTCCATAATATAGCTGATTCCTTAGCCAAATATGGTACTAACAAACCAAAAATTTAACTCAACATTGATTACTTTTCACTTTCTATTTTCTTTTTCATAGAAACACATACTCTTACTACTCAAAATCTATAAATTTTGCATAAACATCTTCTCAATTCAATCCTTTAACAAAATCATTCAACTAAAAGCCATTCAAAATCTCCAATCTTTTAATATCCTCCAATTCACTAATATAATAAATTCTAAAACAACAATATCAAATTATACTTATTCAGAAACAAAATATTATTAAACAACCTACTAACAATAGCAAATCTAAGTACTTGCTACTCTAACCTATACCTCACCTCAAATTGGCCCTTTTGTAACTAATATGAAAATACTGAACACCTTTTTTCCTGCATACTTCACACAATTGATTTCTATAACATACTACTAACCAATATAACAAATAGCCTAAATAGTCTCAACTTAACAATTTCTATATCCCAAATAATTCTACAGCTTATTCTTCAAACTTATAATTCACAAAATCTACTAAAAACTCTTCTACTCCTTATCCAAGGAATCATTCTAATAAATTGCTACAAGCAAATCAACTAATAACTTCTTTATACAACTATCTAACTCTCTACTTATTTGGTTCCAGAACAAAATTTGGAATATCAAAAATCTAATACATCACAAATGGGAATCTGCTCGTAAGATCTCTAGAAAAAACAAAATAAACTTAAAAACTATTTATCTTCTACAAACTCCAAATACCCCAAATACTGTTACTACTTACAATCTTAATATAGATAATTTTATTCAAAAATCTTTACTTCAAAACTTCTCCATATATAACTGTATTTTCTAAATATTTTCTATAACTTACCTAGAGGTCTCCTTCAATCTTCTCTATAGTTAATAGTAACTTAGGTTTAAATTAGCTACAAATAGAAAATGAAGATATAATATCACATTGGATGACTAACTTAGCATTAGCAATATATTATAGGAATCTCATTAGCTTTACATATATTTTAGCTTGATATATAAATGTACTAATTCTTCTCCTATTTGATATTATCATTTAATAAAAAAAAAGATCATAGATGTTAATACTAGGTAAATAAAATAATAATTATATTTTGAAAGAAGCATTAGATATGTAATTAGTAGATATATTAAAATCCTCTAAGATGATAAGAAGGAAATTTGAGCTAAAGGCTTGCTGAATTCATTGTATAGTTTTTTTTTGAGCTAAGTCTCTATAAGATTTGTTTGAGGTTAATAAATAAACTAAAATAATTTTGAATTTAAAGTTATATTTGAAAAAGAGATTAACTGCAACAGCTTCTTTATGATATGTTAATACATTATAAATAAATGCTTAAGATTGTTATTTATCATAAGTGCAGTTTCTTCAGCTGAGTTTCTAAGACTTGCTCAAAAGTAGAAAAAATTTTTAGTATTTAGAAATTTTTGTAATCATGAAGTATTTAGTTTAGTCTCAGTAAGACTAGCAATATTAAAGTTTTCTTTTATACAGTATTCTTTTTAGAGTTGTTTTTTAGTTAAAATATTAAAACCTTTCATATTATAGGTTATTATATTAAGATTAAAGTTAGAATTAGTAGTTAGATGAGTTTATAATTTTAGTAGTAAGTTGTAGTATGTTAGAAGTTAGTATAACTCTATAAACAAGTGGTAATTAAGTGAGTATATATTATCAGGAGTATATATATATGTTTAGGATTAAAGAAAAATATTGTTTTATAGTTAAGCTTGTGTAATTTTAGATAATTAAGAAAGGATTTGATAGTTTGGTTATTATTTAAAAGAGAAAGGTTGTAGTATATTAGGTATTTATTGTAGTATAGTAGTAGTTTTTGTTGTTTCAGTTGTATTAGTAATAGGGCTACTATATAAATATCTTCTATAGAATTAAGAAGAATTAATAGATTTGTAGAAGACAAGCTTACTAAAAAGAGAGAGTTTGTTTAATTTCTTAGAATAATGAGTTTACTATTTCAACTGGTTTGAAGTTAATATTGAATTTTTCTTTTAGGATCTTTTTAGCCTCTAGTATAGCTGTTGTTTTATAGAATTCAGTTATTGATTATATGTTGGTATATTGTTGAGTATGATAACATAATATATAATTATACATGCTAGGAAATATATATTAATTAGTTGTTTAGTTAAAAATTTAATATCTTCTTCTTTGTTAAAGAGGTTTATTTTATAGTTTTGAGTAGTATAGTTGTGATAGACTGTTAAGTATTAGTAGAAATAATAGTTTCAATATTTAGTATTTGTTTTAACATTATTAGCTTTGTATACATATTCTTCTGCTTGATTAGCTAACTCATCAAGGAGTTGAGTAGGTATTTTGGTTTGCAAAGTAGCTTCATATTCTCTGTTAATATAAAAAATAGAAGTATTCAGAGGTAGAGCTTTCCACTACTCACTTTTGTCAGATAGATAAGTAACCTCTGAATATTTTATAACTACTTTAAACAACTTATCAGAGTCTTGCTGTTTGATTTGTTCTTTTTTATCTTTTTCTTTATTATAAGTATCTGGTTTGTCTAATTTCTTAGTTGCTTTAAGGTATTTGCATGTTTCATTTGTATATATAAGGATATAGTAGTTAGAAAATCAAGTTGTTTTTATTTGGCATTCATAACAGGAGTTGGATTTTTTCATTTTATATTTTTTTGAAAGAAGTTTGGCTATGTAAAGAATAAAGTATTATCTAATTTAGTATTTGAAGTAAGTAAGAGTTTTTTGTTTATCAATGGGTTTGTCAAATTGGTGAGAGTAAACAGAGAAGATTTTCTCAAACTATTTGTTGAGATTATCTACAGAGTTTTTTAAAGCTGTGATATTAAAATTGTTGAGAAAGAGAGTTTTAGAAAGTTAAATAATACTTTAATATTAAATCTTAAGTCTGATAAAATATTAAAAGATTCTTTTTCATGAGCTGTGGCATCCTTCCTTCAAAGTACCTTTAGTTACTCTTTCTATGAGTCTGAAAGTAAAGAGGTCAAAGGTTACTATAGCAAATCGTATTTAGGTACTATAATAGTAACTGAGTGAGTTAATACTTAGTAATAGTCACAGATTATAATATATACTAGATAGAAATGTTTTAGTCATAGATTAAAATTATTGATTAAATAAAGTATTAGCATGATTGCTAAAAAAAATAAAATAAAATAAAATTACTCTGCTTTAATAAACTCTAAAAGAGAAATTTTTTTTATCCTTTTTACAAAAATAAAAATTCTACAATTTATTTGTATATACAAAAAAAAATATACCTATAGATTTTTATTTTGGTTAAATTGAGAAGTGACTATGAAAACATACTTTCAAATAATAAGTTATATTTTGTAAATTTATATAGAAACTTATAATTAAAAACTTTAAATATATTTTTGAGTATAATTATTGATCTTTAATCGAATATATTCTCAGCAACTACTTGAGCAAATTTGATGAAAATTTTTTTATTTGAATTCTACAGATCTGTAAAATTTAAATAAAAAAAATTTTATCAAATTTGATCAAGTAGTTGCTGAGATATATTCGATTAAAGTTATTTTCAAATTTTAAAACACCTATTACAAAAAACAGTACTAAAATTTTTATCATAACTTTGATTGAAGATATCTCAACAACCACTTGATCAAATTCGATAAAATTTTTTTTTATTTGAATTTTACAGATCTGTAGAATTCAAATAAAAAAATTTTCATCAAATTTGATCAAGTCATCACTGAGATATCTTTGATCAAAGTTATAATAAAAATTTTAAAATAAGTATTATATGATAGATATTTTAAAATTTGAAAAATAGTATGCGAATTAATTGTCTGTAAAATAGGCTTGCCTATGAATTAATTGTATATGAACTAGGCCGTTCAAAGTTGGTTAGTTGTTTAACGTCACCCCCTGGCAAACTCTCCCCGAAATTAAACAAGCCAATCACAAGGCAGGATAAGAAAGAGGAAAAAATTTAGGCGAAAATTCTTACGAAAAGTTTCGAATAATCGTGTTAATTCTAATGTGTTTGTTTAAATTTTAAATTATCCCCCCCTTCTCGTCTAAAATTCAAAATGGTGACATTAAACAACAAATTTACTTTGAATGGCCCTAATAAGGTCTATGAAGCCTTTTATGTTTACCTACTAATTAATACTTCAATTAGAAAGGTATTTAATATATAGTAGAGATTGTACCTGTTGAAAAAAATCACTACCCGAGTATTATTAAATACCCGGGTTTGACCCGGATGAATTATTATGTTATTCAAGCAAAAATCTTTACCCTGGTATAATAACTAATATATGGCAATATTCAATGCTTGACTTGTTCTATATTCATTGTATGCTTTTTTGAACTAAAAATATAATCGGTATTTACAATGGTTATATTTATAATTGTTATTTTTTTTTGACATCAGATTTTATTGCTGTTTTCGAATTAGCACGGCCATAGAATTTTATGAATTCCATTAATCCCGCATATTGGATGTTCAATATAAGAAATAAAGCCTCGCCCTAACCCTAAAGTAAATGAAATGTGATTTTTTTTTTTTTTTTTTTATCATTATTAATTTTACATGTTACTGGTGTAGTAATTTTCAATTTTTTAATATATTGTTTAGCGGAGTTTGCCCATTATTCTATAGAACATACCCGCAGGATTACCATTGTTTTTCACAATGGTCATATGCGGGATTCATGGGATTCATAAAATTTTAAGGTCGCGCGGGGAAACAATCTTGACCCTAATTGGAACTGAGTATTGTTCGTATTGTTCCACACACATTTAATAGCAGATCACGGGGGTAAAATTTTCATTATATAAAATAGTCAACCAATATCGATATGATCGGTAATTTTATTTATTTATTTTTTATTCACAAGACAGTTTAAAGATGTCTAAACATTTTATTGAATTTAAAAATAGGACCGGGTTAGGTCAATATATGACATTCTGTGTTTATCAACAGATGGACGAATCCGAATACAAGGACAGTGTAGCTTGGCTCATGAGTTCTATACCAGGTGGTTCAACGTCTAGTGTTTCTTGGAAGCTTGATAAATATTTGGTCGCTTTAGCTGAATACCAACAAAAAGGACAAATTGGCACTTATTATACCAAACAAACTGCCCAGGCAGAACTTGGATCAGCTTGGCAAATTATTGATTATCATGTAAGTCAAAGTTAAAAAAAAAAATAATAATAATAATAAGGACATTAAATTTTATTAACGAAGGTTTTATATATATTTCATGATTAGGAAACACAAACACTTGTTCCTTTAAATGAAGTTAAAGTTGAACCCGACACAATAAAAATAACTAATAATTCAACCACTTCAGCGGATTGTGGAATAGGAATGTGGGGAAGTACAACGGCATTCGAAAGAAATTTACAACGAAATTTTACAGCAGCATTTAAAATTGAACCACAATATTGGGTTGGAGTTTTTAATACAGAAATACATAAAGGTCAAGTAGTTGAAGATAGTAATGCATTAGCTTTAAAATATATTTCGTTTCCACCAGAAAAAAATTTAGCAATTGTTACTGCTGTAGCAGAAAATGAAAAAATAATTCTTACGATAAATTATGAAGAAAGATCATCGAATGCATTTTTTAGATTCATTCAGGAACTTTGTGCGAAACTTTTTGAGATTATGTTTATTGTACCGATTTCATTTGTTAAAAGATGTTTAAAGTCCGTTGTTAATTTTATTCAAAAAAGCAAGAAAAAGCAGTAAAAATTGAATTTTTTTTTTTTTAGATTTTAGAAATTAATAACAATTATACTTCTAATATTTTATTAAATTCCATTAGGCATGTATTATATGAATCATTTTAAATTATTAAATTATTAGGAGTATATTTTAAGTTCTCATGTTGTGAAAATTAATACGGAAAGTAGGCATTGTTTTCTTGTTCATTATTTATTTGAATAAAGATATCTTGCTCGTTAGCACTCATTAGCTTTATTATCACTTAACGAACATTCTTATAATTCGAATTTCATAAGTGTGTCGAGATAGTAATGAATGGAGTTAATAATAATCGAGATATAAATATTTGATAATGATTGGAATTAAGAAATAACGATAATTGTTGCGTAGTGATCGTTATGTACGTGATGTTAAATCCAATATATTAACATGTTAATATTTGTAACCATGTAATAACCAGTGTGCAAAATTCAATGTTCTCACTATTCTCAGAGAACACAAAATTTTTGAGAACACTGTAACAAAAAAATGTTTTCTATTTGAGAACAATTTGAGAACAATTTCATGAAATTTATGTTCTCTAATTACAGTTAGACCTCTATAGTCACACTTTTAAGATACAAAAAATAGTAACTCTAAAGAGATGTGACTATTATAAAGGTTTTTCTATATAGTCACAATTATATTAATAAATAAATTTAGTAATTATATAATTATTATATAGAGGTTTTACTTTAATTAAAAATTTTTTTAAAAATTTTTTTAATCAATCGGTGATCGTAGCTACATAGTAAAGTCAAAATATTTATAAGTAAATTGATATTAGTGTCTTAAGTAAAGTTGTTCGGAAGAACAAAATGCATATATAATAATATTTTGATGTAATTTAGACAAGTTTTTACTAATTGACTTTTGTACTTTACACTTCAGTAAACAATTTTTTTTTTTTTTTGTTTACGCAAACGTAAAGTACAAATGTCAATTAACAAAACTTGTTCAAATTATATCAAATCTTACAGTATATGAATATTGTTCTCATGAACAAGTTTACTTAAGACATTAATATCGATTTACTTATAAATATTTTGACTTAACTATGTAGCTACGATTATCAATTGATTAAAAACTTTTATTAGAAAAAATAATAATGATATGACTAAATAGAGAATGATTTTATAGAAGTATCATATAGGTAGTAAATAAAAAAAATGCCGACTATACTCATGATAAAACTTGATAAAAATATAAACTAGCCACGTCATAGGTTTATACAGTTTATATTTTTTAAGCTGATGTTAAAACTTAAAAACTATCAAAAATATAAACTGATAAACCTCTGATATATGTGATAAAACCATGAACTAAGAAACTATAAATTTATTTGAGCATTATTAAGATTTAGCATTTAACATATATATTGTATAGAACATTAGCATTTAACGTATAAGTTACGTATATTGTATAGTTTTTTAAAGCTAATTATTATCGTCCTCAAGTCCTAAGACCTCATAAACAATATTCGATGCCATATTTCCGCGACCTTTGCTTGATGTAGGTTTAGATTGCGGTTTAAAGTTTTCACAATGTTTCCGCGTTATTGAAATTAAAGAAAGACAATGTAAGATCTGCTATATCTTCGATATTAAGTTTTGTCTCAGAAGCCACAAATGTATCAGAATTCACTAAAATCATAAAGTAAAATCATAAAAGGGAGTATGTTGATTCATAAGACTCGTTATCATCAAATATGTTACTGGAATTGTCCATAATTCTTCTTCAGTTAAATCTTTCCCATAATATTCAAGTTCTTTCCAAGATTTCTGAAAGCCAATACATTCGCAATTTAGTCATAGATTCAATACATTTAATTGTAAGGCGATTTCCTTGATCTCCATAAACCGATTTCTTTGCAAATACCTAGAATAATATTTGCATCGAATAAAAGAATATTTCTCATTTTTTGCATCAATAATATAGGAATCCCATACTTCAGCTCGAGGCCGACCGCCAGAATTGGATTTTTTATTTTTTGAAGATGCTAAACAATCGTTAATAGGATTTAAATTATCGTCAATGTATTTGACATATTGAAATAAGCAATGACTTGTTGAATTAAGTAATGACTTGTTAAAAAATAATAAATATAATAAATCGCGTCATGTGACGTCCCCAGATAATTGCTATCTCGGGGTTAAAAAAAATAAAATAAAATAAAATAATAATAATAATAATAATAATAAATAAATAAATAAATAAATAATTGGGCACGATTGTTATGATTCGATTTATAATTTTAACTAATTTTTAGATTTTTATGTCGAAATAAGTAATGACTTGTTAAATTAATGATTTGTTTTGATATTAGTTTTATATAATACAGTAAACTTTAATATACATAATATAATAGCAATAGTTTAATTTAATAATCAATCTAATTATCACTAGTTATATCGCTTTAGTTTTAACTACAATATAGATTAAAATCAGTTTTATTATGTGATAAACCCAGATGTTAAAACGTTTAGTCGGCATCGATAATAGTAACTATAAGACAATTGCGTTTATAAAGAGATAAAAATAATAATATAATAGGTTAGTAAAATTTTAAATGTGACTATAGAGATATTGTGACAATATGGAAATAACTATAAAAAGATTAGAAATAAGTAGCTGCGCAATGCAGTTGCGCGAAACCAGGAACAGGGAAGTAATGAATACAGTGCTAGATACTATGAAAAGATCTTTATAAGGGTATTTTTAGTAAAACATGCACATGATTTAACCATTGTAATTCTTTGATTTAGAATTGACAATCTATTATAGAAAAAGTATGGTTGTAATTTATTTTTAATATTAATAAGATTAATGTTAAAACTGTATAAAGAACTAAGAAAAATATTCTTTATAAATGCA